GTAGAAGATCTGCTTAGCCTGGTGGCAAGACTTAAGGAGGAGGTTGAGATGCTGAGGACCATCAGGGAGTGTGAAAGGGAGATTGACTGGTGGAGTAACTCCCTGGCGGGCCAGTCGGAACGGTTCCAGGGAGATACCCCCCAAAAGGGGAAGGACCCCCTGCCTTCTCACACAGAGGGGGATGGCCCGAGGCAGCCCCTGCCCTGTAGCTGTTGCGCAGAGGTAGGGGACCAAAAAGATGAAGAGGGTTGGAAGCGAGTTCCAGTTTGACGTCGTGGGAAACCCTCCTCCCTTCCTGCCCTGCTTTCCCAGGTGTCCCTCCGTAATAGGTTCGAGGCCCTGGATCTTGAAGGAGAGGTAGGTGAGAATGTGGGGCAAGGCCAGCCCACAAGGCCACATAGGAAAAGGCGGTCGACTTTGCACCTCAAGACTGCCTCTGTTAAGAAAGAAAGAAGGGTCATTGTAGTAGGGGATTCCCTTCTGAGAGGAACAGAGGGCCCGATATGCAGAGTTGACCCTCATCATAGGGAAGTGTGTAGTCTGCCTGGAGCCCGGATCAGGGATATCACCAGGGCGCTCCCCAACCTGGTGCACCCGACAGACTACTACCCGCTGCTGGTCTTCCAGACAGGTGGGAAGGAAGCTGCTTCCCGCAGTCTGAGGGGGATGAAGAAAGACTACAGGGCCTTGGGGCGGATGGTGAAAGAGTCTGGGGCTCAAGTGATCTTCTCCTCTCTCCTTCCATCTTCCACTGATGTGGGAAGGAATGGGAAGATTCAGTTCATGAACAATTGGCTTCGAGACTGGTGCTACAGGCAGGGCTTTGGATTCTTTGATAACGGCTGGTTTTATAGGGCACCAGTCTGGACAATGACAAGTGAGAAAGGTTTGTCTCACAGAGGGAAAAGGATGCTGGGGCACGAATTAGCAGGGCTCATTTGGAGAGCTTGAAACTAGATTCGAAGGGGGATGGGCTTGTAGCTGGGCTTGCCCCAGTGGGGCAGCGCTCCAGAATTAATGAAGACTGGGAGGCCTCCTACAATCCTAGGGTGAAATCGGTGTGCTCAGCTCGCTCCCTGAAATGCCTGTACACCAATGCGCGCAGCATGGGAAATAAGCAGGAGGAGTTGGAAACCTGTGTTAAGTCAGGAGACTATGATCTGGTGGCAATTACAGAGACGTGGTGGGACAGCTCACATGACTGGAATATAGTCATGGAAGGCTATGTCCTTTTCAGGAAAGACAGGCCAGCCAGGCGGGGTGGTGGGGTTGCTCTTTATGTGCGGGAGGAACTACAGTGCACCGAGTTCTGTCCAGGGACAGAATATGAGCGAGTTGAGAGTCTGTGGGTGAGAATTAAGGGGCAGGCTGGCAGGGGGGATACTGTTGTAGGTGTCTGTTACAGACCACCGGATCAGGGTGAGGAAGTTGACAAGGCCTTCTACAGGCAGCTGAGAGCGGCCTCACAGTCACAGGCCGTGGTCGTCGTGGGGGATTTTAACTTCCCTGATGTTTGCTGGAAGGACCACTCGGCAACCCAGCCGCAGTCCAGGAGGCTCCTCCAGTGTATGGATGATAACTTCCTCCTGCAAATGGTGGATGAGCCGACCAGGAGAGGAGCGCTGCTGGATCTCATCCTCACTAACAAGGAGGATCTGGTCGAAGCAGTAAGGGTTGAGGGCTGCCTTGGTTGCAGCGACCACGAGATGGTGGAGTTCAGGATCTTGTGTGGCAGGACTAGTAGAATACCAAGTAGAATTGCAACCCTGGACTTTAGCAGGGCAAACTTCGGCCTTTTCAAGCAATTGCTAGGGGAAATCCCATGGGCAGGGCTGCTTGAAGGTAAAGGGGCCCAAGATAGTTGGTTGACATTCAAGGACTGCTTTTTCCGTGCTCAAGATTGGAGCATCCCGACACGTAGGAAGTCAAGGAAGAGGGCCAAGAGACCTGCGTGGCTAAATAGGGAATTGCTGGGTATGCTCAAGTGGAAGAGGAGAGTTTACAGGTCATGGAAGGAGGGGCTGGCCACTTGGGAGGAATATAAGGCTGCTGCTAGAGGATGTAGGAAGGCAGCTAAGAGGACTAAGGCATCCTTAGAATTAAACCTGGCAAGAAGGGTCAAGGACAGCAAGAAGGGTCAAGGACAGCAAAAAGAGCTTTTTTAAATACATGGCAGACAAAACTAACACCAGAGGCAATGTAGGCCCACTGATGAATGAGATGGGTGCCCTGGTGACAGAAGATAAAGAGATGGCAGAGTTACTGAATGCCTTCTTTGTCTCTGTCTACTCTGCTGCAGGCAGTCCTGAAGAGCCCTGTACCCCTGAGACCTTAGATGAAGTCAGGTCGACGGAGCAGTTTGCCTTAGTCGATGAGGAATGGGTTAGAGAACAGTTGAGCAATCTGGACATCCATAAATCCATGGGTCCAGATGGGATGCACCCGCGGGTGCTGAGGGAACTGGCAGAAGTCATTGCTAGACCACTCTCCATCATCTTTACCAAGTCTTGGGAAACGGGAGAGGTGCCTGAGGACTGGAGGAAAGCAAATGTCACTCCAGTCTTCAAAAAGGGCAAGAAGGAGGACCCGGGTAACTATAGACCGGTCAGCCTCACCTCCATCCCTGGGAAAGTGATGGAACACCTTATCCTTGGTACCATCTTAAGGCATATCAAGGATAAGAAGGTTATGAGGGGCAGTCAACATGGCTTCACCAAGGGGAAATCATGCTTGACCAATCTCTTAGCCTTTTATGAGGAAATAACACGGTGGATGGATGATGGCAGAGCGGTGGATGTGGTCTGCCTTGACCTCAGCAAAGCATTTGACACAGTCTCCCACAGCATCCTCACGGCTAAAATGAGGAAGTGTGGACTGGATGATCAGGTAGTGAGGTGGACTGCGAACTGGCTGAAGGAGAGAAGCCAGAGAGTTGTAGTCTATGGGGCTGAGTCTAGTTGGAGGCCTGTAACTAGTGGAGTGCCTCAAGGGTCAGTACTGGGACTGGTATTATTTAATATATTCATCAATGATTTAGATGAGGGAATTGAGTGTACTATCAGCAAGTTTGCTGATGACACTAAGCTGGGAGGAGTGGCTGATACGCCAGAAGGCTGTGCTGCCATCCAGCGAGACCTGGATAGGCTGGAGAGTTGGGCAGGGAGTAACTTGATGAAATATAACAAGGGAAAGTGTAGAGTCCTGCATCTGGGCAGGAACAACCCCAGGTTCCAGTATAGGTTGGGGAACGACCTGTTAGAGAGCAGTGTAGGGGAGAGGGACCTGGGGGTCCTAGTGGACAACAGGATGACCATGAGCCAACACTGTGCCCTTGTGGCTAAGAAGGCCAATGGCATCCTGGGGTGTATTAGAAGGGCGGTGGTTAGTAGGTCGAGAGAGGTCCTCCTTCCCCTCTACTCTGCCCTGGTGAGACCGCATCTGGAGTATTGTGTCCAGTTCTGGGCCCCTCAGTTCAAGAAGGACAGGGAGCTGCTGGAGAGAGTCCAGCGCAGGGCAACTAAGATGATTAAGGGAGTGGAACATCTCCCTTATGAGGAAAGACTGAGGAAGCTGGGTCTCTATAGTTTGGAGAAGAGGAGACTGAGGGGTGACCTTATCAGTGTCTATAAATATATAAAGGGGGAGTGTCACGAGGACGGAGCCAGGCTCTACTCAGTGGCAAACAATGATAGGACAAGGGGTAATGGGTACAAACTGGAACACAAGAGGTTCCACTTAAACTTGAGAAGAAACTTCTTCTCAGTGAGGGTGACGGAACACTGGAACAGGCTGCCCAGGGAGGTTGTGGAGTCTCCTTCCCTGGAGACATTCAAAACCCGCCTGGACGCATTCCTGTGTAACATTATCTAGGTGTTCCTGCTCCGGCAGGGGGATTGGACTCGATGATCTTTCGAGGTCCCTTCCAATCTCTAACATACTGTGATACTGTGTGATACTGTGAAAGACCACATTTCATCCTTTTGAAGACTGTGCAAGACAAAATATCTCTTTGGCTGCAGCTCACCAAGAGGCAACTACAAACATGGAAGGAGATGGCTACCTGGAAGAAGGGTCCCTGCATCGACTGTGAGAGACATTGGACCAAGCAACCAGAAGTCTGCAAACTGCCTGGGCTACTGTGCGGAAACAGGGAGTCAGAACTGCTCCATCCTGTGGCAATGAAAATGAGGACCAGCTCCAGCACCCAATACTGAAGGGGTCAGCAAGTGCCATCTGAGGAGGGGAATGGACCTCTCCAGAGGACAATCTTGCAGCTGCTTTCTGCTCAAAGGCAAGGAATATTTAAAAGATTCCTCCCAGTCACCTCTGCAAGATAGCAAACATCCTCTGGGAAAGACAGGGTAACCTAATAGCTTTGTAATTAACCCAGCTAAGAATTTTGCAGAGAGAAACTTTTTAGATTCCACTGCAACAACGTAAGTTTTGTTGCACATCTGCAATTTCTGTTTCAAGATGTCATGGCTCCAGCAACATGTGAGCAGTTAACAGAACACAGGCATGGGGTCTACCTCTCTGTGCTGCCTTTCTGTGTCAAAATCTTGCTAACAGAGCCAGGACCATGATGAAAAAGCAGGCTAAGAGTCTCTCAAGTCTTGACAACATAGGGTAGAGTTTCAGCATATGTTTAATCCAACCTAAGTGCTGGCCTCTGCCAGAAAGGGCTATCCCCTTCTCCCTGCTCCCTCCCAGCTGCTGATCCCCACTGCCTGGGTCAGGTCTGGCACCACCAAGCACAGGGAATCTCTGACCCACTGCCCCAGTGCAAGCCCGAGGCTGGGAGGGGGACACATGACTCGCCTTGCTCAAACTGTGTGAGTGTGTCACAAAGCTACACCAAGAGACTTCACAGAGGACAACACTTGTGTCATGCTGACAGTGCTGCATGGTGTGGTCATTTAAGGAAAGTTTTGCAGACAGCTGCTCTTCCCACCTTTGTTTCCTGGATTTAAAGAGTGACCAAAACCCACCTGTCCATTTACTCTGGTACTTGTCCCTTCCACTCTCTTGGTCCTTGGCAGGCTCTTCAGCATCGACAGATGTTTCATTGGGCCCTTGCACATCTTCAGCGGATTCTTCTGAAACAAGAGAAGCAGAAAATGCAACATAAAAATGGAAGTCAAAACAACAGAGCAAATAACTGCCATTGAACAACAGCCAATGCTGAAGCACAAGTGTTAGGTGGTAGATACCAACATCAACCAGCACTTTCCCAACACCCTGCTAGCTGGTCAAGAAAGAAACTATGGAAAAAAGTGAGAGATGAAGACCCACTTCTGCCGCTTACAGCTACTGCTGTCCCTTGCAGTATAATGTACATTAAAACATTGCTTGGTATAAGAAGGTTCTACCAACCATGCCATGGATTAGAGAATTGTCAAGGACTGACTGGAGCTTCCAGCACCTTCAGCCTCAGACTTCCCCCATCTCAAGCTCTCTAGACCAAATGGCACAGTGTGGTACTGACCCTGGTCACCAAGACCCCCAAGTTCAACACAGAAACACCACCGCTCATTTCTGCTCAGGCAAAGCAAGGAGCAGCACTGTCTCCTGCAGACATGGCCCTGACACAAGGCACGGGGGGGAAGCTGCTGGGAGTCTTGTTTTCATTACGGTCAGGGGAAGAGTTTGAGCACACAGGCAGCATCATACAGATGCAAAAGTGTGAAGGGGAAAAAACACTCAGTGAAGCGCTGAAGGTTCAGAACAAACCACGAAGTGCCACTGCCCCACCGTTAACCAGGGCACTGGTGTGCCAAGGCCATGGCACAGAGTTTGTCAACATAGCATGGGCAGCTCCTCATCACATGGGAGACTGGGAGCGAGGTGGCTGCAGCTGCCAGACCTTGTACACCAGGGTCCAACACTACATTATCATCTAATATCTTGGGTATTTATGAACAGTGTGAGCAGCTTGACAGCTACCACATAATTGATGGGGGCTACACTAGCACTGGGAAGAAGGGTACTTTTAAGCTATTATACCCTCTTTTAGGCAGGACAGTTCAAAATTTTAACTTGCATTATCTGGTCATGGTAAATCCTAGGCTATCCTGGGGTTTTATCTGAACTACCTAATCAGTTAAAGCACCACCTCAACCTCCCTCTAACAAAGACAGGGCTAGAAATCAGGATTAAAATATATATATTAGGAGACTGAATATGCTCAGCAGTACCCATTGAGAATGTGACAACCTAAATCAGGGAGGAACTTGTAAAAGCACCCAGAGATCAGCACTGACATTAAGTAGAAGCACTGTGATTTATACTCTACCCCTCTCTCACTCTTCTAAAAGCTGGAAATTCTTGAGAGCTGCAGGGATCTCCATAGTCTTCACCTGGGAAAGCGGGACACCAGGGTGAGAAGTGCAATGGGTGGCATTGCTAGGCAAAGGCACTTCACAAGTGGGAAGACACAAATTACTACTGCAGGGGTGAGATGAGTGTCTGCCTTTTGAGACCAGTGCTCAGGTTTGCTGCAGAGAAGGGCTGTGAAAGCAGCAGCTGGATTCATGTTTCAGAAATTAAAATTCCAGTATGTTTTTATTCCACTCTAGGGAAAAAAAAAACCAATAAACTGCCCCCCCCCCCCCCAAGCAACCCAGACCAACCCAACCACCTTGGCTGGGCTTGGAAGCAGGCTGGGTACGGCCCCCCCACGGCCCCCATGTCGGAGCCCCCTTGAACAACAAAGGGTGCCCAGCGCGGAGGCACTCCCGGCTGCGACCCAGAGGTGTCAGCATTGGCACAGGAGGAAAAGGAAGGGCGAGCCGGTGGCTGCTCAGACGCTGTCTGGGCTCTAACCTGAGCATGTGGAAATAATACACGTCTTCAAGGGCACTGTATGGTTCGAGGGGAATAAAATAGACATTCATGAGCAGTTGCACCATCTGTCTTTATACCATCATCATCATCATTAACAAGGGTAAAAATAGCTCTTTAAAATGGATGAAAGCCCAGGCTGACAGTAATGGGAAAAATGCAAGCTCAGAATACCAATAATGGTAGAAAATGATTAAAAAAAAAGGTTACAAACAGCAAATGCTCCTGCCCTGAGACCCTTGTGCTTGCAGGCACAGCCTGTCCCTCCACAGCCGCCTGCACCAAGTGGCCACCTTGCCCTGAACCAGGGCACAGCTTCCTGCTGAGGACAAGATCTGCCTCCCAGGCTCCAACACCTCTTTGCTGGGCTGCAAAAGCATCTGCATCCTTCTCCCCTCTCTGCTCTGAGCTGACTGTTTCTGACAAGTGTTTTTGTTAAAGGGAGCAGAGCACAAGATACATCTGCCAGGGAGTCTCTGAATCTGCTGGGAAAGGCCCTGGTACTGTCCCTATGTGCCTCCGTGCTCCCAGGGCCTTTGATGAGGACCATCCTCCTGCTCCTTTCTGCAGCACACCCTGGGAGCTCCATGCACCTATGGGCCCTGGGGATGAAGCTGCCTGGCACTGTGACTTAGGGAAGCCTTAACCCTGTCTGCCTCATGATCCTCTTCCATCAGACTTGCTTGGAAGGCTGGATGCAGCTCTGCTCACTGCACTCAGCCTAACTTGCCTTGCAGCCACCAGTGTTTAAGATGACCCCAGGGATGATTTGGAGTGTCCTCAGCCATACCACTCCTCAGCTGGCCACATGCACTGCTGCAGAGGGCTTTGAACTTCAGAAAACCAGCCTCCAACAGACTGGACACAGGGCTCAAGAGTGTGATCTGACCCGGCTTCTAACAATGAGGTTCTCCAACAGTGAAAATGAAATGCAGCAGAGCTCCTGTTCCCAGAGGATTTACTTCCTGATGACAGCTCTGAAGTGGCAGCTCCAAACATGCTAGCAGGTCTGCGTAGCAAACATGTGAATGGCAGCCAACCATCATCCTCCAGTATTTCCTGAGAGCATCTTTCCGAGAGGATAAGGCCAGCATCACAACTGGTAGGGAAAGGTCTGCTTCTCTCCTCAATCCACTGCACATGCAACAAGGAGATTTTGAGCTTCCCTTTTAATTGTCTGCAAGTCCCAGTGTCAAGTTGCTCCCATTCTGCATTAGATCAGAGCTAACCACTGCCTACTACTTAATGTCCAAAGAGCCCCAAAGGACAGAACTGCAGCTGGGTGTGGAGACCACCTCATGGCCAGCTTCCAAAGGCTCGATGAGGCTGTGGTCAGCAAGATGAAGGCAATTTATTTCATAACCACCATGACCCCTTTGTTATCACTTGACCATACCTTCTTGAGTCTGTACACACGATTAGGACACATTCACCTAATGGCTTGACTTCCTTAAAAAGATGGAAAAAATCACCAGCCACTTTGTAGTTAAAAGTACTCAGGTCAAAACTGTACATCCTAACAAGTGTCCCAGGTGGGGTTAATATACAAAGGATGAGAAGTCCCTCCAGCATTTCAGAAGTATAATGGGAGTCTCTGCCAGTCAAGGACTCCAACCAGGAATTTCAGAGTGTGGCTGGGATGCTGAAACTGGAGATCATCGAATCATAGAACAGTTAGGGTTGGAAAGGACCTTAAGATCATCTACTTCCAACCCCACTGCCATGGGCAGGGACACCTCACACTAAACCATCTCACCCAAGGCTTTGTCCAACCTGGCCTTGAACACTGCCAGGGATGGAGCATTCACAACCTCCCTGGGCAACCTAATCCAGTGCCTCACCACCCTTACAGGAAAGAATTTCCTCCTTATATCCAATCTAAACTTCCCCTGTTTCAGTTTTAACCCATTACCCCTTCTCCTGTCACTACAGTCCCTAATGAAGAGTCCCTCCCCAGCATCCCTATAGGCCCCTTTCAGATACTGGAAGGCTGCTATGAGGTCTCCACGCAGCCTTCTCTTCTCCAGGATGAACAGCCCCAACTTTCTCAGCCTATCTTCAGATGGGAGGTGCTCCAGTCCCCTGATCATCCTCGTGGCCCTTCTCTGGACTTGTTCCAACAATTCCATGTCCTTTTTATGTTGAGGGCACCAGAACTGCACACAATACTCCAGGTGAGGTCTCACAAGAGCAGAGTAGAGGGGCAGGATCACCTCCTTCGACCTGCTGGTCACGTTCCTTTTGATGCAGCCCAGGATACGGTTGCCTTTCTGGGCTGCAAGCACACACTGCTGGCTCATGTTCATTTTCTCATCAATCAACACCCCCAAGTCCTTCTCTGCAGGGCTGCTCTGAATCTCTTCTTTGCCCAGCCTGTACCTGTTCCTGGGATTGCTCTGACCCAGGTGTAGGACCTTGCACTTGGCATGGTTAAACTTCATGAGGTTGGCATCAGCCCACATCACAAGTGCGTCAAGGTCCCTCTGGATGGCATCCCTTCCCTCCAGCATATCAACCGAACCACACAGCTTGGTGTCTTCGGCAAACTTGCTGAGGGCACACTCAATCCCACTGTCCATGTCAGCGATGAAGATGTTAAACAAGACCGGTCCCAACACCAATCCCTGAGGGACACCACTCATTACTGGTCTCCAGCTGGACATTGAGACATTGACGACAACTCTTTGCGTGCGGCCATCCATACAATTCTTTCTCCACCGAGTGGTCCATCCATCAAATTGATGTCTCTCCAATTTAAAGACAAGGATGTCATGTGGGACAGTGTCGAACGCTTTACACAAGTCCAGGTAGATGACATCAACTGCTCTACCCCTGTCCATCAGTTCCGTAGGCCCATCATAGAAGGCCACCAAATTGGTCAGGCAGGATTTCCCCTTAGTGAAGCCATGCTGGCTGTCACCAAGCACCTTGTTGATTTTCATGTGTCTTAGCATGCCTTCCAGGAGAATCTGCTCCAAGATTTTGCCAGGCACAGAGGTGAGACTGACTGGTCTGTAATTCCCCGGGTCATCCATTTTCCCCTTCTTGAAAATGGGGGTTATATTTCCCTTTTTCCAGTCATCAGGAACTTCACCTATCTGCCATGATTTTTCAGATATGATGGTCAGTGGCTTAGCAACCTCATTCACCAGCTCCTTCAGGACACATGGATGGATTTCATCAGGTCCCATGCACTTGTGAACGTTCAGATTTTTAAGATGGTCTCGAACCAGATCCTCTTCTACAGTGGGCCCAA